TTTTCAGAAATAACAATCTCATGTATTAAATCTTAACATCGTGTGGATTTTTAATATTAAAACTTAAATAAAGTGCAAAAATAATTGCGGGAAGATTGATAAAAGGGAAAAGGACAGTGAAAGACGTGGAAGAAAGAGCCAGGGTACTGCAAAGAATGGAATACTCATAAAATAAAAATAATAAAAAATACTTTGGGTTTATATTGTTCACGGTAAAGGCAGGGAGAGTTTCGGAACTTCGTAAGTCTCGCGTTTGACAGGAGATTCGAGTCCCAATTCAATGACACAATCTTTAAACTTATCGTAAGGCCACCATCTATTTTCCATAAACTCGTGTATTATTATTATTTTTACACCAACTTTAATTATCTTTTTAAGTCAATTTGATTTTTCAGATATCCCATAAATTTTAACTCTCTAAACCGGTCATAAAATTAACCACATGCAATAGGGACTCAAATTCGTGCTTTTCTTTACAATTAATAATTCATTAATTATTTACAGAAACCATCCAGAGTTGTCGCGTGTCATAAAACATGATAATGTGATCTTATTTTGAGTGCCTTTATGGATTTTAAGGCGGAATTCTAATTTGTATTGATGCGATCATTGTTATTAAAAATTGGAGTTTGCATTTATCATTTAACATGACACAAAAAATTTCATACACACACAATATTTTGTGGAGTTCGCACCTTTTGAAACAAAAACTAAAAAAATTAAGGCACGCAAAACGAATCTCTGTAACATTACACAATCACTTTTCCTACAACATAACTTTTATAAAACCCTTAAAAATTAGTGTAAATGCTTTTACATTTTTTACTAAAATCATACATATTAAAACGCAAATAAAATTCTCCCACCGAATTGGAGTATGGAATCATCTCCAAAAATCTCGGTCAGAGCTGGCATATGCCAAATGTGAATATCACCTGAAGCAAGTAGAACACTTGGTAGAGAAACCCAATCTTGAGTGAAATAAATACCGTGACTTCGAGGCTGTACAATTATGGGGAGATGTTCAGTACCGATTCTTATAGTACAGTTCAGAGTGTGGATAAGCTAATTTCGGTGAATGTCTATTTGCCAGACTGTTCACCTAAAAGTTGATAAAAATTACGTGTAAAAACATAAAAATGATAGAAACGCAAGTTTTTACGTAAAAAAAACTAAACCGGATCAATATTTAACCCATGACCTAATTTTATTTTTATTTTTTTAAAAGAAAAACCTATTTCAATTTTCTCAAAATTAAATGCACAGTGTCTTCTTTAAGCGCTATCTGAGAAAAAAAAAAAACCTTGCGGGAGGCCGCTGTATTTCCATTTAGGAGTTATTAAATTTTATTCTTTTGATGTTTTGGATTTTAGTTATAAGTTGTTAAATTCTTTTTGTGTTTTTTGACTTATATTTTATATAGTTACGATATTTATATCTTTTAAATATAAAATTGTTCATTGAATTTTGAGTAGTGACTTATGTGATATATATTTTTTACATATATATATATATATATATAATTTTGTATATTAACCCTACATAATAAAAATTTTACATTTCGTGTCACTTATACTATTTATCTTTCTATCATTTTTTTCCATTTCAACGTAAAAATTCGATTTTGATAACGGCTGTCATACAATTTTTTTTTTATACCTTAATGTTATGTGCAAAACAGGATGAGTGAAACTGTGAGTGTAACAAACAAGGGCATTACAGAAATCTAAAAGCGGATGTGATTTGGAGTGAAAATGGGCAAGTCAGCTTACCTTAAATTAGCTTGACTTATTTTTTAAATATAAACATTGAGCTTGCACTATTTATGTGACGTGTGCTTTTTAAGGCTTAATTTTATTTTTCTTTTAAAATTATAACTTGACCTAAAAGTTAATGTAAAGATCTATTTTATAATGGTCTTTAAATAAGCCAATAAATCAACCTCTAAATAGGTTTAAAGCTCTAAATCCTTGTACAAGCCAATAAAATTAAATTCTTAAACGGATTAAAAAGTATATGATTTTAAAACATTATACACACATTTAAATAGGTCAAGTCGTGAGGTCTTTTAAAATAGCCTATTCAAAAATTCTTGACCTCATTTATATAATAAATATGTTCTAAAAACTTGGTCTCAAGTTCGAATATGGGGTGCATAATCATATTAAAAATTTAATGGGAAAAATTTTATTGACCTTGTGGTCATGCTCAATTCAATCAATTAATCAATAAATCGGTACAGAATTCTTTTATTATTGAAAATTAATTTATAAAAGGATAGAATCGTTTTATACTTATATAAGTTACTCTTTCAAGTCTTAATTATTAATTTCATTTACATTTAATGACGACTAATAAATAAAAATCATGAATAGAAAAACAATTAAAATTTTATGCTAGACTTATTATTTTTATACAAAGATGAAATGAATCATTTTCTATTTATAAACAATATTCAAAGACGAGGATATTTTTTTAATGATTCTGCACTCATTCAATTTACTTAATTGACAATTTGACATCGAACTTTTCCTTACACAACGATAGGAAGATGTTTCACAAAAAAAAAAAAAGAAGAAGAAGAAGAAGGACAGGGAGATGGGTGTAATTCTATTTTAAGTTGAAAACACTTTGTCCAAATACGTACTATATCAGGTGAAAACACGGGAAATGAACAAGTGCAGTGCACGAACAAGAAAGTATCATAGCCATTATTTTGGTCCAGTTTTAGCAAACCTTGTTCATGTACTATGTTGCAATTTCTATCTACAAGGACACCAAACGACATATAAATTAATTAATGTGCGCTTAAAATGTGATATGTGAGGGTATTACGGTGAAATCATATTTGAAGACTCAAATTGGAGGTGACTTCGGTCAAACGGCCGTGAACATTGTGTTGATTCGACTGCTAGACTTGCTAAAACAATAATGGCACGTTTGGTTTTATGGACAGATCCATATTTTAATCGCATATATATGACGGGGTATTTGGTATAGGAATTTTTTTTTTTTGTCCAGAAATCTCGATTTTTAAAAATATAATTTTTATATTCAGTTTACAATAATATTCGAAAATTAAAAATTTAGAAAAATTCAATTTCTCGAGAATCCTGAAGAATAACGTGTACCAAACGCCTCCTTAAGAGATTATTATACATCCTATTCATATCACTGCAACAGAAGATAACAAGGATAAAATCATAAAAATTTTATCCCTATAACTTAGAGGTTGAATTATAGATCAATTAAAAGATCTTGACTTGACAGCTCAAGTTCAAGAGGTAATTTTTATAAATAAAAAGTTAAAGACTCTATGTACACATTTTTTGACTTATTTATTATTTCTGTCAATACTGTATACACATTTATGTCTTGACTATAAGTTTATTACTTGTGCACAGTAATTGAAATATTAACTATAAGCCAATCAAAATATCTATTTCTAAGATATCTCTTAATGCATAACATGTAATATACACCCTTGATTTCCTAGGACCGAACATTTGGATTTACGAAAGTCAAATTAACAAACCTTTATAATTATAAAACTCTCACAGCAATATAATTAAAATTTAAAAACATGAAATTTATTTACAAATGTTATCATTAGTAAACCTTTATAAACACAAACTTATAAATAATAAAATCAAAAAATAATTGTTAAAAATATTTCCAAGTTATTCTGTAATTTTAGTTATAAAAATTGAAAAACAATTATTGTTTTTTTCAATATTTTGTTTTGATTGAGTAAGATTAAAATGATATTTGAAGAATACAAATTAATTATGTAAAAATTTAACAATATAAAAAAGTAATGTTATATATTTTTTAAACATGTTTTTAGTTACTTAAAATAATTTATCAGTGTTATAAAAAAAATAATAATAATTTATCAGTGCAGTTCAAATTTGACAACAAAATGATTTGCATATCTACTCGGGATATAAATATTTTTCCTCTTCTGTAATCGTATTTTTTAATAATTAATAGTAATGATAAAATTAAATATATTTTTCTTGAATTTTAAAAAGGTCTTAAATATTTTTTATTCAAGATTTTTTTTGAATTGATTAAGATGATATTTGAAGAAAATAAAATAATTATGTAAAAAATTATAAATATAGAAAAGTAGGGTTATATTTTTTGAAGTTCCTTCAAATAATTTAACAGGGCAGGTAGGCGGTCCAAATTTGACAGCATAATGATTTGGGATTTAAATATTTTCCCTCTTTTGTAATCATACTTTTTTAATTAACATGATTATTTTTCTTTTTGAATCATGATTTTTATAATTAAGATTATGACCGTTGATTGGTCAAATTACGATTGAAAGTTTTTTCAAATGATATATTAAAAATAAGAATTTCTCGTATTATAGAAAATAAATTTACCTCATATATATATATATATATAATATATAATAATGTACGGTCTTATATAAGATCATAGGAAAAGAAAAAAAAAAGAAATATATTAATCCCACTAAAATAAATTCATCTCTTATAGTATAAAAAAGTCTTGCAAAATTAAATATGAGAAGGTGATAGAGCAAATTTTAAGATTAAAAAAATCACAAATGATTTATCTATAAAGGAAGGAAATAATCTGAGTCATGAGATGATGTTTGACACATAAGAGAGGATTTATGTTGAGGGCAGTATAGTAATTTGGAGAGGCATTAGTTGGCAAAGTACAATTTTGGCAAGTTCGGGTTCAATTGGAAAGCAGAGAGAATGAGGAAAACAGCAAGCAAGGTTGGGTCTCCTCTCTGTGACTCTTCTGTGTGCTTTTCCACTCATTAACTGACCCTTTGAGACTCCTTGAGAGAGTTGAGACACCAACACAGCCACACACACAGACACACACAAAGATAAAAACACCACCCTGTTCTGTTCCTCTGCGCACACACACACACAAACACACACACAAAAATACGGTTACAATATAGATTGTTATTGTAAAACAGCGAGATTGTGGGAAAAGGCAAAACATCCTATATGGGTGAAACCGGTATCGTTGTCCGGTTCCCGGGAAACTTAGACCCAAGAGCTGAGGAGTTCAGACCCACAAACATCATTCAACATCAACCGGCAACCGTTTTCCCACAACCTTATCCATGTCCGTACGCACCGTTGCCCGTGGCCGTTGGAGTTCCGTTCACTCACTTCACTGCTTACGTCACCCCGCCGGCGCAGGTGTCCACGTCACCAACCCGGTCGCTGCTGCTGAGTCCCGTTCCCATCATCATTAGCGAGTCAGCGTTGAGGATGGAACTCGAGGTGTTCGGTGACGTCAGAGGAATCCAGATGGACGGTCTCCGTGATGGAACCGTTACCGTTCATTTCTACGACCTCAGGCATGCAGAGACGGCGTTAACGGCGATTCGCAGACAGCACATGCAGCACCAGACCAGGCTCCGCAACCACTACGCTTCTTTCTTCAAGACCCTCAACCCTGAATTCTACGCCGCCGCACCACCACCGCTTCCTCCGCCGGCGCGTGGGCTTATATCCGGTCGTGTCGTGTGGGCCCAGTACGTCCAACCCGCTTGCAATGCCGTCCCCGACGGTCAGAACCAAGGGACACTCGTGATTTTCAATTTGGACATGGAGGTGTCCACTGAGAATCTCCGACAAGTTTTTAAGGCTTTTGGTATTTTTTTCAATTTATCAATTGTTTGCCTTTGTCTTTCGTTTTCATGAAATGAGATCTGAAAAAGTTTATTAATTTATGTTTTTTTATTTGTGGGTTTGGTTTGGGTTATGTTGATGAGATGAGATGTCTCTATCTTAGTCTTTAATTTGTGTCTCAACTTTCACCCTTTGTTTTGATGGGTTTAATTTAATTTTTTATAGGTGCCATAAAGGAATTGAGAGATACACCATGGAAAAAGAATCAAAGATTCGTGGAGTTTTTTGACATAAGAGACGCAGCAAAGGCATTGAAAGAGATGAATGGCAAGGAAATTAATGGAAAACAAGTTGTTATTGAGTTTAGTAGACCAGGTGGTCACACCAGAAAGTTTTTCCATTCTTCACCACACTCTACAATCTCCAAAAAGCCTCTTAATTTCAATATCCCATCTCCACCATCACCATCACCACGTGCTGCTTCTTCCCCTCGACGTCGTTTTGCTGGTTCTCGCTTGCATTCCTCTCATCAACCACAATTATCTTACAAGAAATCTGCTGTTGACCAGAACAAGATTTCAGATTCTGGTTCTATTGATGCATCAATGTGTTCAATGAATTTGAGTGGGGAAGTTGGAAGTGTGATTGAAGAGCAGCATTCACATGGACATGGTCCATCTTTAAGGAGGAATTTCATTAGGAATCACGGTAGTGAAAACACCACTGTAGGAAGCAGCACGAAGCAACAACAACAACAACTACCTAGAAGTAATAGGAATTGGAAGGGAAAGCAAGCAAAGAAGCTTGAAACTCGGTTCTTAATCAAAGAAGATGCCATTGTTGAGTCCACTTCCAGAGATTCTAGAACTACTGTAATGATCAAGAACATACCCAACAAATACAGGTCCGTATTTCATTTTTTATATATATATAATATATATTTAATAAACTTCTATTGCGTAATTTTGTTTCCAGTTACTTTGAGCTTCTCACTTCGAATGACATAAATAAATAAGTAAAAGAGGTGATGGAGATTATAGTATATTTAAGTATTGGATACTGTTATATTTTTTTTTAATTTAATTTGAAATTTTAATAACTTAATATTCTGTATGTATCTTTTTTGATTTGTTGCAGTCAGAAGCTACTGTTAAACATGCTGGACAACCACTGCATACACTGCAACGAGCAGATTGGCGATGATGATGACCAGCCTTTATCCTCCTACGACTTCGTGTACCTTCCCATTGATTTCAAGTATTTTCTGTTTCCATTCATTCTTCTTACTATTACTTCTGTTAAATGTGAATGCACTCTACAATTAATATCTTGAACTAATTACACTAGTGCTAATGTATGAAATACGTGTTGAAAAAACAGCAACAAGTGCAATGTGGGATATGGGTTTGTGAACATGACATCTCCGGAGGCAACACTGAGGCTCTATAAGGCCTTCCATCTTCAACATTGGGAGGTATTTAATTCAAGAAAAATTTGCGAAGTCACCTACGCGAGAGTTCAGGTATATTTTATTATTTGCAATGTTCTAGGGAAAAAGTGTGTTTCGTTTTAAAAGATGTAAAGTTGTCTCATTTTAAGTGAAAGGAAGAGATAGATAAAAAAAAAAGAGAGTGGACAAAAAAATATAAATGTGTGGGTCCCACCTCTTTATGAGAGTAAAAGAATATAAATTGTATCATTTAAAAGGATAAACACTTTTATCATGTTTTATTAATGAGTTCAAGGAGTCTTATTTAGAAGAACACAAGTTTTATTCTTTTAGTGACTTACACAAAGTTTAACCAGTCATATATATTGTGTAAATCTGAAAAAGTTATTTTTTTTTTTTTCACTTTACATGTTTACTTTACATGTTTACATCAAGTATGACCTGTCTAACTTTGTAAATCCTCAAAAAGGACATAAGTTCTTTGTCTACTTTTTTTTCCTTTATTATTTCACTCGCATGATGAAATAATATAACATTATATTATAATGTAACATATGTTATTGAATGAATGTTATTTATTTATTTATGTAAATATAAATATTTGATAAAAGGGTTTGGAAGCTTTGAAAGAGCACTTTAAGAACTCAAAGTTCCCATGCGAGATGGAGCATTACCTGCCAGTGGTGTTTTCACCGCCTCGAGACGGTGGTAGGGAACTGACGGAGCCACTTCCAATTGTGGGGAACAAGCAGCAAACAATTGGTGTGACAAATATTTCAAATGGTGTTGGTTGTGATGAGATGGAGGGTGGTGATAGGGATGATAGGGTAGGTGGTGGTGTTTCTGCTTGTGATGACGTGGCTAGCAGCAAAAGTGGCGGCGTGAGTAGTGATGATGACACAAGGGAAGTGGGTGGTGGAGGCATGCTCTCTTCTGAAGTGTGTAGCGTAGTTGACTAGTTGTGCTGTGAATGTGTGCATTTAACCAAAAAGCAATTAGGTGGTCGTTGAGCAACGAGCCACATCTGTGTTCTCTGCAATGCATAGCCTATTCTCTTTTGCTTGCTCACACAACTTCGCCTGCATGTTACTGCTACCTCTTACAACAACCATTTCATCTCAACTCTGAACCTGTTGCTGCTCACTGCTCAACACCCCTCCTATATGTTCATTTTTTTTTTCTTTTAATATTTTCATTTCTTGCTTTTGCTTAGTGAAATCGAATTAGAGGTTTTTTTTTTTTTTGGTTGTAACTCTAAATCTCTTGTAGCCTTGTAGGTTCTGGCACTTCCGATGCAGTGTTTAATTTATTTCGCCTTCAAGCTTAGTATTCAAGTATTTTGTTGTATCATTTATGAGTTTTATTTTTCTTTATGTTACGTAAGATAAATATTTTTTCTTGCTCTCACAACAAATGGAGGAATTCACTTTATTTTTTAAAAAAAGAAAGAGAAAAAAATAAAGTACGGGAATTGTTGAAGTGAGAGTAAGATAAAATTTATTTTATGTGACATAATAGGGGAAATAAAACCCATCATTTATTGCATACAAAACTGAAAACTTAGAAGGGTAGAGAAGAACAAAGAAAAAATAGTTTCATTTTTCTTTTTCTTTTTTCCGGCTGTTAACGTTTATTTATGCAGCTATAAAGTGCTGAGCTGAGCAGATACTAAATGCAACCTAATCTTTTAATTATTTGAATTAATATAAATTTATAAATAGATATATTTAATTAAACTTAGACTTTCTTTTAATTATTTGAATTAATAATTTGTTTCGCCTAATTTTTACTTATAACAATAAGAGAAACTAGAAAAACAAAATCCAACCATTTACTTGGTGCCCTCGCTTAGGTGTGGTGTAGGTTATAATGGTAATTGTAATTGGTGCTATTGTTGTCGGCTTGTCGTATCTTATAGTGACCTTTTTGGCCGTTTCCACAGTACAAAGTTTTTCGCGGCTGGGGCTTGGGACTTGGGAGTTGCTTAGTTGCATTCTTTTTTCTCTTGCTTTTAAACTTTTATGGTAAGTAATCTCATTCGAACTAGAAATATTCATACTATGATATGATTAATTCTATCAAATAATTTTGTTTATATTTACACGAACACGATCTTAAAATTTTATTTAAATAAAATTAAATAGGACAGGTTATATTTACAAACTCTTTCGTTTACAAACTCTTTCGTTTATAAACTCTTACAAATTACACTATATTTTCTCGGGAGAATATCGGTTACATTATGTTCTCTCGGGAGACATAATGTAATTTGTAAAAAAAATTTAAAATTTTTTATAAATATATCCTTCGACAAATTAAATATGTATAATTTGAATCGTCCTATTTTCCTTCATTCGTTTTTCTCTTTGGCTTGTGACTTTATTGTTTGTGGACCATAATATTCTAAGCTGTGCTTGCATTAGTCACCCATTTAATGCTCGGCTCTTCGTTCTGTAGCTTTCAAGTTTGAGACCAACACCACCACCATCACCCGGTTCACATCTCTGTCAGATATCCACCTGTTCCTTTTTCATGATGCTACGGGGTTTTGACACGTGGACCACCTGATGACCCCCACGTCATTCAAACCTCGTATTGTTAATGTCATAATGCTGGCCATGCCCATATCTATGTTTGACCAATTTCCAATCGACAAAACTTCCCGGACCCCAATTCTCTTTTCCAGAGTAAAATTTTCACTGCTCCTACTACTACCACACACCTGTTATTATTTGTAGGGAAATATTATTTTCACATGTAATACATGTGATAAATTTTTTTTTTACACATTCTCTATAATTGTGTAATTTTTTTCTTTTTATTTTTCAGATAGTGGGAACCACAAGTTTGTCTCTGTGACATGAGATAATTTATTTTCTTTAACATTAAATTAATAAAACTCTTATTTGTATGCGGTAAACGAAGAAACATAAATCATATTTTTTTAGTAATATAATATTGAGTTTTATTAATCTTATTTAAAGGAAACAAGTTATCTCATGTTATAAAAATAAATTTATGGACTTCGTAACCTGCAAAAAAAAAAAAATAATGCAGTAATTGAAGGGTGTGCAAGAAAATTTTTTTTATCTCAAGTAAGATGTAAGATGAGAACAATTTTGACCTACAATGTTTTATAAATATGATTTAAATAATAGGAAATTTCAATCTAACATAAACAATCATTGGTTTAGTGATTTTGTAAATTCGGTCATACATCCAATAATCTCGCACACGGCACATTGGTATATCGACATATATTATCATGAGGCACAACTACTAGTGTGTCGTGATTTTTCAAATTATTTGTCAAAATGTCATGGGGTGGCTATTTATTGCCAATATGTCGCATTTACAATCCCTTTAATTCCACCTGTGGACCAATTCTATCATGTGATAAAATTGTGGCGGTTTTATTTATGGGAAATACATATGTTATGTAACATAATACAAAACTAATTTCCTACCCAAATAAACTTTGGTGGGACCCATCATGAAAAAAAATGAAAAACAAAAGAAATGTTGACACAATATTCAATGTGTGAGTAGGAATGCTTTTATATATCATGTTACATGATAGAAATATTACCCTTTATTTATTCTTCCACTCTTATTTTCTCAACCAATATAAACTTCAGTAAATTGATATTAATATTTTGTTATTATATTTAAAATTATTTAATACCCATTTATCCAAATAATTATTTCTATATAGGAATGTTCTTTCAGCAAATTAGGAAAACAATAATCACTAAATTATTATTATTGAAAATAAATTTAATATTTTTGACTTCAGAGGAATTTCAAAATATCGCGAGGAAAATAAGCATTATTTATTGTAATTTAATATTTTATTTAATTAATTAATTTTTAATTTTTAATTTAATATAATTTATGTGGAGTGAGAGGATATGAGCGAAGGAAGAAGTAAAATTTAAAACACACGGTTGATTATGATTCCGTTGCTGTTGAGGTCAATAACACTTTCAACACGCGGTATTTTGAAATGTAATTTCTAAAAATATCACGATGCCCGGAGACAATTATTTGTACTTAATAAACTTATTCATAATTATTAGTATTTTAGCTAATTCTATTTTCATCTTGCTAAAATGAGATATTGCCCGTAACTAGAAGTATAAATCACAATCACAAAACTTAAAAAAAAAAACAAATACATATATGTTATTTGGGTTAAGTGTTTATCATTTTAAATAGGGTTTGTTTTTTCTAATGTTACATCAGATAATTTTATCTAATGTTTATCGAAACGACGTCGTTTTGGGGCGAAAATCATGGTGTTTTTGTAATTTTAATTTATTTCAGGCTTATAATAGTCTTTATCATTCTAATTTTTTTTTTCAACTCTAAAACGACGTCGTTTTAATGAACATTAGATACTTTTTTCCTTTTTAAATAACATAACTTTGTGTCATTTTTAATGAAATTATATTGTTTTGATGTGTTTTTGATATTTTTTTTACATTTTTTCTTTTTTATAAAATTTTGAAAAAAAAAGAATGTCGAGGAGCGAGATTGCAAAAACACACAAAAACAATGTAATTTCATTGAAACTGACACAAAATATCAGTGTTTTAAAACCTCACCCCACCCCCCGGGTTGACCTGGGTCAACCCTGACCCCTCCTCTACGAGGGTTGGGGTCACAAGTTGGACCCCATATGCACATCGACCCCTCCGACCCCCAAAACCCGGTCGAGTTTTAGTGACTCCCGGGTCAGAGGGGTCAAAGGGGGTCACTGCATGTTTTTATTTAAAAAAAAAAAAAATTCCCTGAAACAATGTCGTTTTATTAAAAAAATAAAAATAAAAATGCTTACAAACCTAAATCTAATCGTTCTCTTCTCTCCCAGTGACCTAGACGTCTTCAATCTTCACCTCGCTACCGTGAATCTTCTAGAAAAGGTAAGAATTTGTTTCCATTCAAATGAAATCCTTACAGCTGTTGATGGAAAACAAAAACTCATTCTTACTTCCTTTAAATTTTTCTTTGTCAGAAACCTTATTAAAATAGACAGAACCGGGTCACCGTAGTTATCCCATTAGAATATGAGTTTTGTACTTTGGTATCTTGATACTTTAATTAAGTTGTGTAATATTGACTTGTGGTTGTAATTGGTGAATTATGTTAAGTATATTTTGAATCTTTGATGATTTGTGATTTATTTTTTAATATTTTCATATAGGATATATATATATATATATATGATATATATATATATATGATATATATATATATATATATATATATATATATATATTTAATATATAAAACTGGGTCAGCATAATGACCCCGTGACCCCCCGGTTGAACCCGTGACTCCATGACCCCTGACCTCGGTCGAGTCGATGGCCGGGCCGAGTTTTTAAACACTGCAAAATATATCATTTAAAATAATAATATTTTCCCCATGTTTTCTTATAATCCTACCAAAATCATCAGGTTAATTAAGAAAATAATATTGACTTTAATGTTTCTATTTTTTTTATAGAAAAAAACTTCTCTGACACACTCATATAAAAGTAAGTGGATTCCATTGATATTTTCTCTCTCTCTCCTCTTTACAATGAAACCCATTTATTTTTATGTGAGTGTCGCAGAGAAAATTTTTCTACAGTAAAAGTAAAAATATTTTTTCCAATAATATTTCTTTTCCCTACACAGTTGTCATTGTTTTGATTTAATTTTGTAAATTGTAGTCATGCTCGACATAACAGGCGCATAGGTTTCTCAACAATCAACAATGTTTAGTACGAACATGAAGTATTAAAATTTATTTTGATAGCTTTTATGTAAATACACGCCATTTAACGAATTTAGTATTGATTTACGTTTTCGAATATATACTGATTAAGTTAATACCTTCAAGCTTTTTTTTAATCAAACAAAGGGAAAGCAGCGATGAGGAGATAAAGGATGAATGCATGAGACATAATATT